GTTGAGGCGCGCGTGGGGCGCAGGGTGTACGGGGGGGGGGGCAGACATTGGCAGAGCCACGAGGGACGCAGCAGCACCGCGGTCATCTACCAAAAAAAGTCGCAGATCATTCTCTTTGAGCTGCATGGACACGCAAACGCGCGCACGGACCTCCCCACACAGACACACAGGCACATACATGCACATGCCCAAACTCCCTCCCTCACAACCCAAACACCGGGGCCCCTGCCCCCTCATCTCTCCCCAAGGCTACATGAACAACGACCTCGTCGGCCTCATCGCCAGCCTTATCCCCACGCCGCGCTGCCACTTCTTGATGACGGGCTACACACCCCTGACCCTGGAGAGCAGCGAGGGCGGCCAGGTCAACAGCGCGATCCGCAAGACCACCGTCCTGGACGTCATGCGGCGGCTGCTGCAGCCCAAAAACATCATGGTGCGCGGGAGGAGGGGCGGGGCCGCAAAATGCATGAGCAGAGCGCGCACAGCATGTTCGGCCCAACTGCCAAACATGCGGCCTGTCAGGTGATGAGTTGTTGTGTGTCAATCCCCGCCAAGCTTCACCTTCCCCGACGAACCAGCAGCAGCCCTCTGCCTCACTGCCCCTCCACACCTGGTTGTCACGCCTCCAACCTGGCCGCCACCCCTGGCTCCACTCCCCCGCCCCCTGTTGCCCCCAGGTGTCGCCGCATGCGCGCGCCAAGGACCTGTCCAGCGCCAAGTACATATCCATCCTCAACATCATCCAGGGGGAGGTCGACCCCACGCAGGCGAGGACAACAGCCTGAAACAACATCATACACCATAGCCCCATCACCATTGGATGTTACAGCCCCCCAGCGGCCCACCTGCACTGACGCACACCCGCATTGCGCCCTCGCTTGCTCCAAGCGGCTGTTCAGGGCCCTTGCAGGCGCGCCCCCGCATCCAGCCGGGGGGCCCGCTCGGGCCCCTAGCACCCGACCCCGCGCGCCGGCTCCCGCCTATTCCCCTGAATTGCGCAGGTGCACAAGAGCCTGCAGCGCATCCGGGAGCGCAAGACGGCCAACTTCATAGAGTGGGGCCCCGCCAGCATCCAGGTGCGCGCCTCGCGCCTGCTTACGAATGCCGCGCTGTGGACACGCGCCCCGGCAACACCGCCTCTGCAGGCTGCCCTCCCCACCACCAGGCTGCCCGTGTCCCATCTTCCCAATTCCAGGCCGATGCCCTTACTGTTTTTGCGTATCTCCACATCCATCTTCACAACCCCTGCCCCGCCTAATCATCTCCACCACCCCCGCCCCGCCCTGCCCCCCCAGGTGGCTCTGTCCAAGAAGTCGCCCTACGTCCAGACGGCGCACCGCGTGAGCGGCCTGATGCTGGCCAACCACACGTCCATCCGCCATCTGTTCAACAAGATCATGCGCGACTACGAGAAGCTTATCGGGCCGCGGTAGGGGGGAGGGGCAGGGATGGACGCGCGCCAGCCTGTGTGTGCGTGCGCGCGCTCATTTGTGCGTGCATGTGGGTGTGTTTTTCTGTGTATGTGTGTGGGCGTTGAGCATGCGCGCGTTGACGCGCGCGCACGTGTTCAGCGAGGGCGCACACGTGAATGGCTCAAGAGCCGAGTGATTCCCTGCGTGCTGGCACTGTCAGACCCAGCAGCCTCCAAGCTCCCTCCTACACCC